ACTGGCTTTTTTTTTATTGTTGTTGTAGTTGTTGCTGATAAATCAAGAAAGGTAAATAAAGATGTGTATGTAGTAGGCGGTGCAATGGTAGTGAAAGGCAAGAATGATTTATTAATTGTTGAATAATGATAATTTTTTTGTTTAGTGAAATCTTTTAATAATAATAAATTATTATTATTATTATGAAAAAGCATTGATATTGTATTTTGAAGAGAAAAAATTTTTAAAACCATTTTTTTTTTAAAAATTTTATTCATCTAAACCAAATACATTTTATTTTATTTCCAACCAATTAGAAAAATATATATATAAAACAAATCAACAAGCTTTCTCTCTCTTTTGTATGTAGGTTTATTTTTTTATTGATAATTAATCAATAAATGAACATGATTAATCCAAATAAATTAATGACAAAATTTTATTTATGTGAAATTTATTAAATTAATCAACTCCATATTCAGTTTCAAAATCTTTTCATCTTCTCTTGCCAAATTGTGATCCATAACTTCCACCATGAGTATTAGGTGTAGGCTGTTGACCCCACACACACACACACACACATTTATATACATTTAGACTTATTAATAAATAATTTTAATGTGATATTAAAATATATAAATGACATATTATTAAAACAATAGCAACATTTACCCAATTCTGTTTTCCAAAAAATTCTCCTTGATGAATTCTTCCTGACAGTCACTGCCTCCACCGTCACCATCACAGTATCTCAATGATTGAGTATTACCATCAACACGAGCCGGACTATCACCTCTAGTTCTACCTCTTGATTGTAGTATTTGCAAAAATTGGTGTGATGATGTTGATGATGTTGATGTTTGATCGACTGTTGTAATTTTAGTACCAGTTATTATGCCTGATGTGGTCAGAATAATTGTAAAATTGATATTTTGTATTAAATCTGTTACTGTGTCAACATTGATAAAAGGATCTACCAAAAAAATTATTTTGGGAAATAATAGATATAATCAAACATTATGTAAACCTTTGTTTTTAAAAACAAGTGATAATAAATTTACTTTTCTTCATACTAGTATAACTTTGTTGGTGGCAGTAATCTTATCAAAAATTTTGCAATTGAATCTGGTAACATTGTCCAAGTGAGAGGCTGTTGTATATAATTTTGAGGAGGAGGAGGTGGCGGCAGTGGTGGTGGGGATGGTTGCATGCTAGATATGTTTGGTATGGGTTGAGATATATTTTCCATACCTTTTTTTGTGTTGTAGATGTGTTGCTGTTGGTTGAGAAAACATAGGTGGTGATAATGTTGCTGTTGATGTTGATGATGTTATTGATGTTGTCGATGTCATTGATGTTGATTGATTTAGAGATGATAGTGTTGAACTTCCTGTTACGTTTTGAGTAGTGGATGCTTGTTGTTGTTGTCTATGTAATTGTTCCGCTGGTTTATATGGAACTCATTGTCTAAAATCTGGTTATGGATACTTTTCTGGATGCACAGAATCTAATAGGGCATGGCGAACTGGTGCCAATTCTTTCTCTTCTTTGATTTGAGGTGATTTAATTTGTATTTAGATAGCTGAAATGATTCACAAATTGACTTAACATTGAATCTATCTATATATACATATATCCAGGCATATAGATATATTGTATATATTTATTTATTGTAATAATACTGTTGTTAATAATAATTTGCAATGAAAAAATACATTAGTGATTAATAATACCTTCTGGATATTCTTTTGCTTGTCTTTCATTAATTTTATAAATTGATGCAAGATTGCCATAATTATTTTCATAATCAGAGAATTTTTTTCAAAGTACTTTAGCCTTATCACTTGGTATTGATATCAAGTTTTTTTAATAACTTATATTAATCATTAATTAAAAAATGCACTTCATTGAAAAATATTTCAAACACATTTAGTAAATATATTTGTCATTAAGAAAAAATTCTAACAATACCAGATAAAAAAACCTATTTATAAATATAATTAGTGAATAATATTATTTTTGAAATTCTAATATCTTGCCTGTAGAGTATAAGAAAAGTGGTGAACTATTTGGAGTGCCAGCTTCACTCTGAGCATAAAATGATTTTATCCCAGCACGGTGAGCTTCTTTGGATGGAGTACATGAATGAATAGGAAGACCATCAGGAAGTTGAGATACATTTTCAAACATATTATTAACATTTTCAGCACACACCTCATTTACAATTTTGATTGTTTCTAGCAAATTTATCTATCCAACAACAACCAAACAACCTTTGATGAGCACTAAAAAAATATTAAACAATCCAAAGAAAAAAAAAGGTATAATACCTTAAACACCCATAAGAGAGATATGAAATCAAAAAAATGAATTTGTTGACTTGTCCAATCAATTGGAACAAATGATTTACTTATTCATTCCATTAAAAGGACACCATTTGTTGGATTTGACATTCCCCATAGCTCTATTTGTTTTTCTACAGTGTGTGAAATAATTAAAATATCAAAACTAAGGAAATCAGATTATCTATAAATATAAATATAAATATGTGAAATTATTTACCATATGCATGCAAGAAAAAAACTTGGACCTTTGAAAAGAAGCTTTTTTATAACAATGTGCTAATTCACCTAACATATACACATTCCCAATTGCTCCTTTTAAATGGTCCCATGTAGACCGTGGCTTATCCACAATATTGTAGCCACCACTAATTTCAAGATCTATTTCTACCAATGACTTCTTTATTCAGGTAAAAAAAGCTCCATCTGCCTTTTGTTCATATGAGTTACCATCTTCTTTCTTTTACAACATGATTCTACAGATGATAATACTATTTCCCCTCTTTAATCAGGAAAAGATGACAATATTATTTATCAATTATGTAATATAAATTACCAGCAACTTTTTTACACTAAGATAACATCTACAAACACACTTACGGCTTATAGATTACATCTTTCTCTTCACCACAAAATGGTTCTATCAGGCATTGATTGATTACATATAAACTATAGCCGCTTTCTGAAATGTTCTCTCTCTGCATAACAGAATGTTCAGGATATACTAATCTGTGGCTACAATTGCACATGCACGCACGCATGCGCACACACATGCACACACACACACACGAGATGTTAAATTTTAAATTAAAAAGAACCATACTAATTGAATTAACTACTTACAATTTAAATTTTAAATTAAAAGAACCATACTAATTGAATTAACTACTTACAATTAAGGCTCTGAACAAATTGAATAGAGCTCCGAAACGGGTCGGGTCGACCCGAGTCAACCCGCGGGTTGACCCGAACGAGTCGGGTCGGGTCATGATTT